AAAATACCTCTTTTTTCCCAAATGGCTCGACTTCACTTGAATGGGTACCTACAGTAACTCCAAACGTCAGTCATTGGGTTATTGCAGTCAAAATTTATTTCCACTTTAAGTCACATCCAGTTCATGGTGATGAACAGAGGTCAAAGTGGGGCTTTGGAGCTGGCCCTGGGGCATCAAGCTGCTGCTGGCAGGTGGTGAGTTGGGTTACAGAGGATATGAAGTCACAGGGAGCTATGTGTGGATCAGGTGTAGAAGAGGAGCGATCACTTCAACCTATATTCCTTTGCCCAAAACTCAGTCATGTGAACCACCCAAGATGCAAAAGTGTCTAGAGATGTAGCGCTTGCCTGGGCAGCTCCATCCCAGACATAGCTATTCGGAGAAGAGAGTACATATTTTGGAAGCTTAGCCAAAGAGTCCAATCCCAAGACTTTCAACTTCCCTATGCAAACGCTTAATATAAAGACTAAGAATAGCATCACATTCAGTTACTGAAAATTTTTATCAATAGCTCTCTGTAAAGAATTTGTCAAAAATAATCTGCTGCTTATCTCTGGGGTAAAAAAAAAAATCAACCATCCCCTCTATTTGGGGGGGGGGGAGGAAGGTCTTATAAATCTTTGGTGTCATATTAAACAAAAAATAAAAACTCTGTTAAAGACCTTGCCAAGTCTTACTCTTAAAGTATTTAGTTAAAGCATTCTTAGTGCTCCAAAATCAGAATCCTAAAGTTATTGGAAGCAGGGGTCAATCGTGTCCTTTAGTAAGTGTTCTATGCCCTGCTTTATTTTATAGTATTTGTTTAAAATAGATTTGGTCTATTAGTTAGTGGTCTAACTAACTATTTTCCAAGTTCAACTTGAAAATCCCTTTAGGGGGAAAAAATACATCCCTCATACATTTGAAAGGATAAACTTAATAAATATAAATGCTTCCATATTTCAATATAAGTAAACTTCATTTAATTCAGTATTCTAAAGGATTTGATTCTAATTCCTTTTCGTCAAATAGGGAAAAATCTGTATCAATTTTGGAATAACCGAGGTTATTTTCTGTACATTTTAGTGGTTTGCTTTAAAAACAATTTCACCTCTTGACTATGAGAAAATGTGCTCCCGTGGATAAATTGTGTAGCAACTAAAAACCGTAGGGTGTGGAGCTGACTTTTCAGTTGGTGATGTCTCCACAAGGCCTGGTTGGGGATTGAGTCTTTCAGTGATTTTACTTAAAAAACAGCAGAGGGGTTAAAACCCAGAGGATTGAATGTGTTGCTGTCCATATCAGGTGCATGTGTGTGAAAACACTTGGTAAACTGTATGTTAGGGAACTGTAAAGATAATGGTAAAAAAAAAAATCATAAAAATTGTTCAGTGATGTTTGGTGCCATTGGAATTACTAAGCTTAAGAAGGGGAGAAATCCTTCTCTCCATCTGGTGGAATGTGGAAGACAGCAATTAATATTAGCACCAGGCTTCTTAGCATCTCTGAGATGCAAAACCGTTAATCACAAGGATATCATTAGTGCTCCGAAGCATTTAATTTTGATGCTTGACAGCATTTTAAAATGCACAGACCTTTGATAAAGAGAGAATCGGAGCTGCGATGTTGAATTAAGAAAGAAATAGGGAACAAAAACCACCTTAAGCTCCAAGTAATTAAATTTAAATGTGCTATTTGCGTTAAGCAGAGATATGTATAAACGGGGGTTTACTTTTCCTGTCAGTGGAAGACCCCTTGAGTAAACATCATCCACTTAAATCCAGCTCCTAAGGAGGGGAAAGGTAATGCTGCTTGGTTAGGAAGTCATCTCCCCCCAAACTGGCCATTGTGCACCACTGACATCCAAAGGTTCAGGTTTCTAGACTTTCCTAAAGGGCTGTTTTCACTCTTCCTTGCCCACAGGCTGGAGACCTTTCATTG